CTTTTCAGACCGATGAGCTTTGTAAAAATCGACGCGTTTCAGAAAGGCGGGGCATAGAGGAGAAACAATAATGTACAGTATGTGGAAAATAATGTGTTTTTTTAACCTTAAACCGCATAAACACATTTCATTACACCAAATACACAAAATAATGTTCATTTTTAGCACCGTCATATGACCCCTTTAATATCCTCGGTTTTGTTGTTTTCATAAACTTTCATCAACATGTTATAACTAGAAATGTAACGATGCACCCGAAGCCAGTTGAAAATCAATGAAAATATGTGACGATTCAAGTTAGATAAGATGTTGAACAAATCACGATACAGTTGGGGTGGAGGTTTATATGAATGTATCTCTAAGGGGAACTGACTGTCTTCAAATAAGTTTTGATGGTATTTTCTTTTCATCTTGCCTATGTATAATGCATATTGAAGTAGTTTTTATCAGCCCAGTGCTGCTTTGTTTACAGCGGTAACCAACAAAACGGTGTATTGCTGTTCTTCTATAGGTGCTACCTATTGGTAGAGAGTGAATTTGTGTTCTCATTTAGCCTGTCTGCTTTTATGTAGTTTTATGTAGCATAATTTCATAAATGCTCAATTTAGACCATTCTGTTTTTGCTTTAAATGCGTTTTCTGAACAAGGTACATTTTCTGCTGGAAAATGTCTATATGCTGATATTTCAACATAAGAGATGTTTCAATTTCACAAAGAAATGTGGAGCATTTTGTCTGAGAAATAATAAAAGGACAATTTTTCATTCATAATTTGTCTTAAATCTCATTTTGTTAAAAAAAAAGTGAGAAAATCATATTGTGAAACCAGTATCGTCAATCATATTGCTTTTGAGTTGAGTTGAGTGAATTGTTACATCCCTAGTAATAACCCTCTTCATCTCTAAAATAATTTTTGTTTCTGCTAATGTAACTAAACCTGTGTGGGTGGTCAAAAATAAAATTTACCAATAAAATCAAATGCTAACATGTTTCCATCTAATCAAACCTTGATGGAGAGAATTATTTTCTCAGAATATTGAAATTATGTAATGTATTATGAATGCTTTTTTTTTTTAAATGTCTCACACAGGGTAGTATTCACCTGACATGGTCCTGTAGGTGGTATCCTGCTGGTGTTTGGGGCTTTGATTGCTCTTGAGTCCTGCTGGCAAGCTGCCCTGGAGAGCAGCGGAACTCAACATTCCAGCCGGCTTTTGGATGAAGGCAGGAGTGCAGCCGATGGCTCCAGCAATGCAAGTGCACTTGTAGAATGAGCTGGGTTGGAAGGCCTGTCCGTTATCATAGTGAGCCCCATTCAGGTCACAACCAACCCCCATCATGTCTGCAAAAATATGCAGGAAGGACTATTAAACTAAACCTGTGTGGGTGGTCAAAAATAAAATTTACCAATAAAATCAAATGCTAACATGTTTCCATCTAATCAAACCCTGATGGAGAGAATTATTTTCTCAGAATATTCAAATTATGTAATGCATTATGAATGCTTTTTTTTTTTTTAAATGTCTCACACAGAGTAGTATTCACCTGACATGGTCCTGTAGGTGGTATCCTGCTGGTGTTTGGGGCTTTGATTGCTCTTGAGTCCTGCTGGCAAGCTGCCCTGGAGAGCAGCGGAACTCAACATTCCAGCCGGCTTTTGGATGAAGGCAGGAGTGCAGCCGATGGCTCCAGCAATGCAAGTGCACTTGTAGAGTGGGCTGGGCTGGAAGGCCTGTCCGTTATCATAGTGAGCCCCATTCAGGTCACAACCAACCCCCATCATGTCTGCAAAAATATGCAGGATTGACTATTATGTACAAAAAATAAAACTTAATTTAAGATATGGTCATGAGGTTAAAAAAATCCTCCTAACTAAATTAAAATGAGGCAGTTAGTACAATATGGCCACAATTTACATAAAACTATCTGATAAAGAAAATCTATCTTATCTATCTATCTAATTTCTCCCTGCATATATCATATCATGTGCGAGGATTCTCATTACACCACTGTATTCTGTAAAAACAATTTAGCTTCTAAACTAAATGTTCTTATTTTTAAGAAGCTGTGATATTGATTGTAACAACCACCTAGGGGTTTTCATAAAACGCTCACTCACAAGCACAGACGCCAACTTCATAACGTGGCTGGTCTTTGGAAAAGTCACAGTACATGCTTTTGTGAGGGTCACAGACGTCCCTCTCGTTGCATGATTCCCCAATCTGCCGTGCACAGGTTTTGCAGCAGCCGCAGCCATCCAAGATGGAGCTGACACCAGGGGCACACAGCGGCCGGACGCCACATTTACATGGCCAGCTACAGAACTGCCTCCTCTCCACCAGGCCCGTCGCTTCCCGCTGCTTCTGCCTGCTATCAGCACCCTGCAATACATGCAAAAAGAAAATAAGACCCTGGAATAAAAGATATCACCTCTGTGAGCTCATTTGTAGTTATTTGTGAAAGAATCACTAGCATCATGCTCTTATTCTTTGGTTTTCATTTCCTTGGCATGCACTTTTAATGCGTTTAGAGCATAGTTATTTGATCAATGTGGGTTTTTGAATTAATAATCCAAATTAGGATGACAACATAAAAATTAAAGATAAATATATTGAATACATGTTATACTATACATTTATATGCATATAATACATTTACACTAAATATATATTATAAAAAAATAGAACACTACCTAATTTATTTAAATTAATTTATATAAAAGAGTTAGATAAAGGCATACTGATACAAAAAAAGAAAAAAGAGGCCATTGGTATATGGACTTGAAACTTGAATCTTTTTGGAATTTGTTCATTTACACTGAACAAAATTATAAACGCAACACTTTTGTTTTTGCCCCCATTTTTCATGAGCTGAACTCAAAGATCTAAGACTTTTTCTATGTACACAAAAGGCCTATTTCTCTCAAATATTGCTCACAAATCTGTCTAAATCTGTGTTAGGCAAGGCAAGGCAAGGCAAGGCAAGGCAAGTTTATTTGTATAGCACATTTCATACACAATGGTAATTCAAAGTGCTTTACATAAAAGAAAAGAAAAAAAAATAATCACAACAATAAAACAAGGAATTTAAAAACATTGAAAATGATTAAAACAATTGATTTAAGAAGTTTAAAATGAATTTAAGAAAACGATTATACATAGAATATAGTGCAATCAGTTCGGACATCGCACAGTGCTCATTCAATGAATGCACAGCTAAACAGATGAGTTTTGAGTCTGCATTTAAATGTGACTAATGTTTTAGCACATCTGATCTCTTCTGGAAGCTGATTCCAACTGCGGGCGCCATAATAACTAAAAGCAGACTCCCCTTGTTTTGGGTGAACCCTTGGTATTTCTAACTGACTTGATCCTAATGATCTGAGTGGTCTGTTAGGTTTATATTCAGTGAACATATCTGCTATGTATTTAGGTCCTAGGCCATTGAGTGACTTATAAACGAGTAAAAGTACTTTAAAATCAATCCTAAATATAACTGGAAGCCAGTGTAAGGACCTGAGGACTGGTGTAATATGCTCAGATTTTCTGGTTCTAGTCAGAATTCTGGCAGCAGCGTTCTGGATGAGCTGCAGCTGTCTAATGGTCTTCTTGGGAAGGCCGGTGAGGAGACCATTACAATAGTCCACCCTGCTAGTGATAAAGGCATGAACAAGTTTCTCCAAGTCTTGACTGGAAACAAAACATCTAATTCTTGCAATGTTTTTGAGATGATAGTATGCTGATTTAGTTACTGCTTTGAGTAACTAAATCAGCATAGATTTAGATAGATATAGATAGATAGATAGATAGATAGATAGATAGA